CCCCCTCCTTCCCAGCTCCCGAATTTCTTCCTGAAAATCCCGGATTACGGGTTGTACTCCCAGGACGTGGAGTTCATCAACCACCTGCTGCACCTGCACACCAGGTCTGGGGACACCTGGGGACACCTGGGGACACCTGGGGACGCTGGGAGGTGACCAGGGGAGGTGACATCGCTGTCCCTGTCCCCGCAGTGCCCGTGGGCAGCGCCAGGCTGTGACACGGGGGGGACACTCTGCCAGCCTGGGCACCCCGGGGGGGCACGGGGAGGTCACAGGGGTGTCCCAGGGAGGTCACAGGGTGTCCCAGGGAGGTGACACCGCTGTCCCCCTGTCCCCAGGGGCCGTCCCACGTCCCCCAGGTGTCCCTGACCCCGTGCAGGGCACCGGCCTGGGGATGCTCTGCCAGCCCGGGGACCCCGGGGGTGGCACAGGGGTGTCCCAGGGAGGTGACAGGGTGTCCCCCCGTGTCCCCAGGGGCCGTCCCATGTACCAGGTGGCCGTGGCCCTGTGCAGGGCACTGGCCTGGGGGTACTTTGCCAGCCTGAGGCTGGAGGTGCTGGCGCTGACCCGGCACCCCGAGGACTGGAGCGTCCGCGCCCGCTGGAGGCTCACGGGGGTGCCCCTGCACCTGCTGCTGCTGCGCTTCTACCGCAGGGACAAGAGGCAGCTGCTCAGGTCAGTCTGGGGACACCCTGGGGACACCCTGGGGACACCCTGGGGACACCCTGGGGACACCCCTGTCACCCCCCTGGGTCACCTTCTGTCACCCCCCTGTCACCTGCTCTGCCCCTCCTGTCACCCCCCTGTCACCCCCAGGGTGTGACCCCACCCCAATGTCCTCAATGTCCCCCATGGCCCAACCACCTCCAGTGTCCCCAGGGTGTCCCCTGTGTCCCCCCAGTCCCCTTTGTCCCCAATGTCCCCCTGTCCCCATCAATGTCCCCAGGGTGTCCCCACCGTCCCCCCGATGTCCCCACGTCCCCTCCGTCCCTGCCACCCCCAAAACGTGACCCCACCCCACCATCCCCACACCCCCCTGCCCCTGCCACCCCCAGACTGTCCCAGCCCAGTGTCCCCAAGGCTGTCTGACCCCACTGTCCC